GATAAGTCAATTCTGCAACCTTGGTTTCAATCTTTCATTATCGTAAGGTGGTTTGTATCAGTTGATTTTCTAATATTTTTTATCCAGCCTCAAATGAAATTAAAAGGAATTTTTTTGTATAGATGCAACAGTTTATAACTTCAGACCTATGATTCAAAAAGTTTTTGGGATCTGGAAATGTCATTATTGTTAACTTTTCTTGTTGGCAGAAGTTGCAGATGTTATAATTGTTTCATTTTTTTTAAATTTTCCAGTTTATAGTTGGATCTTTGTTGTTTTTTCTTTTAATAGCCACACATGGTTAGCTAGTTTGGTAGAGTTTCTAAAACTTTCCAGCTTCAATAACTACCTGTAGTTGTTCCTTTGAAAGTATCTTCAATACATCTTATGTATGTTTTCTTCTGGCCATCTCTATCTATTACTTCTGCTTTAGAAATTACGGCTTTGGTTGCAGTTTCACTTTCTGTTGCATCTATAAAAAAAAATTCCTTTTAATTTCATATGTGAGTGGATAACAAATATGTACATTTCAATTACCCCCCCCCCGACCAATATATTTATAATACTCTTTCTTTCTTTCCTCCTCTTCCTTCTTCTTTGCATCCTTCTTTAATATCATACTCAAAATCATGGGTTTATTTATTATTTAAAATAATAGTGTTCATTAATAATTTTATAAAAATATAAAGCATTAGGAAATCAATTGATACAAACCACCTGACAATACTGAAAGGTTGAAACCAAGGTAATGGAATCAACTGCTCTCCTAATTTCTATATATATATATATATGTGTGTGTGTGTGTGTGTGTGTGTGTGTGGATATATATATATATGAAATTTTTTATATATATTATTTATATATTATATATTACATATTTTCCTTCCACTGCCATAAAAACTCTGATATACGCAACCATATATAAATCCAAAATTTAAAAATTAATCAGTTTGTCTGATGATTGCAAATAGTGTGAAACCCAGAGTCACAAACTCACATCAATCCAACTAAATATATATATATATATATATATATATATATATATAATAAAAAGGCTTAAACACTAATATTCCATGGTCATAATTTATTCCATTGGAATCGTAAATACAATCCAAATCATCAGACCTACAAATTCAAAATGAAAACAGAAAAAACAACTCCAGAAATCAAAACAGAATTTAGAGAAAGTGTAAGTATGAGGAGGATGGAGATGAAACCTTAACAGAGAGAATTTTAGGAGATGTGGGGGGGAAATAAAAAAATATATATATATATATATATATATATATATATGCATGTGTATGTGTGCAAATATATAGAAAAATAGGAAAGAAGCGTTAGGTTAATTTTTGTTTTTATTTTTAAAAAACAGTACTCAATACATAAGTAGAGCCTAAATTATAATTATTTTTTAAAAATATGATTCCATCGCTACATAAGAGTTCACATGTTTCAAAAATAGAAGCTAAAAAACCAGCTCTATTTCATCCTCAAATGAATTTTAGAATAACTAATCTTGAAATTTGCGGAGCTTTATAAGCATAAACATTCATAATATTAATTACATGGAAACGGTTAAACCAATTATTGTAATAAGGGGCAAAAAGGTGAACATATTGTATCAACATATTAGTTACTTTCGGAAAGAGGTTAAGTTAAGGTAGGGTTGGGGTGTCTATTTTCAAGCGAATGATGACATCAGTTTGAAGCATGTCATCTGGTCTGTTTCAACGACAGAGAGTTGTTGACATTATTGTTATGCCGTTGAATTTGTATACCTTAAATTTTTTTTTCTAAAAGGGTTGTTTGTATATAAATACATCATACTGAACTACAATTTGTTTTTTGACGACTTCATAAAGGGTTTTTTATCTTATGATTTGGTTGAGCTTTTAAACCTTTTGCTTGAAATTGAAATTGTTTATAGACTATGAAATTTTAAAATTTTAAAGCTAATTATTTAAGGCAAAAATTTGTTGAATTATTAACTATTATTTAATAGATTTTCATTATTTAGAAACTTAATAATGTGTAGTTTTTCATGTAGGCATAAAGGGCACGGGTCATTCCAGGTTTTACAAGTTCTTGTTCTATTTATTATTTTCCATTTTACTTTTAGTGTTTTATATATTTCTTTTAAATGCCAAAAATATTTGGATAGGGATGTCTGATTTGTATTTCTAATATTATTGAAGGAGCTTTTGTGTTGTCACCACCTAATTTTGAATTCATTCTTCATGGATATCATTTCAATGTTAGGGCTCTCAATGGATGAGATTATGCATTGGTATACCACAGATTCTATGCAGCATTTATTTTCCAACGGGCAGTCTTCCAAGTTTCTACAATCATATAATTTTTCATTATTTTTGTCTAATTTTAGTTTAGGGTTTTTATTAATAGTATTTTGGCATGCATATTTTTCCATGATTTTATTATTATGATGTTTTTTTATGATCCTTTCTAGATTTTCAGTGCAGCTGTAGCTTAATTTTAAGGTGTTTTTAATAAAGGTCTTGCTAAGTCTGCTATCAGTGGGAAAGTGTTTTTCAATTAAAGCTAGGAATTTTTGTCTTAGCTTAATATTAACCATTCAGTTGAATGGAGGGGTATACCAAATGATTTTTCTTTTCCTGTGTTTCTTCTGGTTAGTCCTATTGTTTCTATAATTAATGTTAGTGTTATTGTATCCACCATTTTTTAGAGCTGTGTTTTAAAAATTACTGTGTTGTTGGAAGATTTCTTCATTTGCAGAGTTCATGCTGATTCTTTTCTCTATTGATAAGCGTATATGCTTAATTGTAGATGGAGGGTGGTTTGACTTAGGTGTACATACAAGGGGTTAGCGTTAGGTTTTCTGTAAGGTAGGTATATGTTGTTCATTAAGTCCAGAGTTATGTCGAGGAAGTTTACTCTTTTCAATTTTGTTAACTGTAGTTTTTAAATTTAGTTTTCTGAATTTACTATATATTATCTTTCTAATTTTATCTATTTTAAAATTTGTGGAACTCCTCACTATCATGTGCCCATCATCTCTGTATAGCCTGATGTCCTTAGTGTCTAATTCATGGTGCGTAGTTAGATTGTATAGTATAAAAAAACGACAAGGTCAGAAGACTCTGCGGAGTCTGAAGATCCCATGGTGATGTCAAAATGGTCTTCATTGTTTTTAATCCATTGGTCCCCATTATGAATGAGGACAGATTTTTTTGCACTAAAAATTATGTTCATCTCTTCTTCTGTTAAGTCTGAATATACAGTAGCAAAGGGCAGTCGTGAATAGATCTCTTGATATTGACTGGTAATAATCCACAATATTGAACTGTATTAGGGTACAATCAAGCTTGTTGCTGATACTGGTAAACCAATTGATGACTTCTTTGGTGTTAATCCAGAGTGTTAATCCAAGGTGGTTTTTAATTTGCTTAAAAGTGATATTTGAAAAAGTCCAAGGTACAAAATTATATTTTAGTAACATATATTGGCAACATGGAAAATGGATAGACCAAAAATCAAATCTTTTCCTTTCAACCCATTCTGAAGGATTGTATGAAGATTTGCCCTGGATTCATTTCAGAAAAGGCTAAATTAATTTCTTACTTTCAAGCCATTCTGATAATGTGAAAAGGATTTGCATTTAATTCAAGACAAAAAAACTGGGAAAATACATTAGCAAATTTCAATCTGAACTAAGAATTGTAAAGATACAGAATAAATGTTAACAGCTTTTTTAAAAGTCACTCATTTTCTTAACACCAGCTTAGGGAAAAGTACTAAGATTCATTATTTAAGCATATACACAAATATACACACACATTTCTTTCATTTTGGGATCTGATGAAGCCCTGAATGGCAAAATACATAATCAAATCTATTTTCATGAAACATTTCCATTTGTCATATATATATATATATATATATATATATATATATATATATATATACACAGACACACACACACACACACACACACACACACAAATGCACATCCTACCAGTTCACATGAACCAATTCTTAAAATTATAAAAGTTTAGCAAACTGGTTGTTGGATTATCTAAAAATAAACTAATATATTAATAGCCATTAGATAATAGCTAAAAATATAATTTATACCATTACTGTAAGTTCTGTGAAGGGTTTTCTTTGATGAACATAATTTTTTCTGACAAAAGAAGTCATCTTGAAGTTAAAAATGTGGCAAATCTTCTAGTCATAAATTTGATAGATTTTCTATTGGGTCTTTGGGACTGAAGTGATTCAGTTCAAATTGTGGTGAAGAAACGGTAACACAGCTGATGACACTTGAATCAAAAAGCATAATATGATGAGAACAGAATTTCAGTCTGGAAATATTTTAAGAAATAAATGTTTTCTATTAAATTATCAAAATAGTTTAATCATTAATAAAGTGATTGGTTTCCATTCTCAGATTGAAAAGAACATAAGCAGAATAGATTCCTAAATATTACCTAGCTTTATAGAACCAGTTCCTGGAAATTTTTGATGCGTGTGTGTATATATATATACAGATAGATAGATAGATAGATATAATGTATATATATGCAGAGTTGCTGAAAAGTTTTCAATTTTGAGGAACGATGTATCAAGTGTCTTGAAATTCAGGACAAATATATGGAATGGCATGTTTATTTCATGGCTTTAACTTATTCTTTCTAGTTGGGCTGAGAACTTTCCCATACTCCTATGTGTATAAAGACAGATTGATTGATTTGTTTTTTTTATGGCTTATTTGAAGGTTATTTAAAGGCAGTAAATATTTTTGGATTCGTAAGATCTTTTTGTTGTTGTTGTTGGGGACAGTAATCATTTACTGATACAAGTCCTACTAATTAACCCATAGCCGGGGGGATAAGTAGTGGGTTTATACTTTTTTTCCGGGGATATTTGTGCATAAGGAAAATATACCAAACCCGACTGAATTGGAACTCTCTGATTTCCATTTCTGAGTCATTATCTATTACACCACCCACACATCCAAGCTTACAGCACCTGATATTCCCAAGCAGTCACCCATCTAGGTACTGACCAGGCTCAACATTGCTTAACTGGTGATCACACAAGAACTGGTGTTGCAACATGATATGGCTGTAAAGACAGAGAGGAAAGATAGAAAGTTATTCTTGATGAGTAGCCTCTTGCATTGATCTTAGAAGAAGCATTAAATTCAATATTTAGGTTAACCCTAAATTAAATTTTTGCTCTTCAGAAAATAAAAAATAATTTTCTTTTTTTCATTGCATATATTCAATCTGAAAATATAGGAAAAGTGACAAAAATCAAAGAAAAATTGACAAATCTTCACTTTGGAAATCAAATTTATAATCTTTATTCTTTGTTCAATATTTAATCTTCAGAAAGAAATGTTCCTACATCAGTAAAGAGTAGATAAACTTTGAGCATGTGATAATATTCAATTATAGATACAAATATTATTATCTATGTAGTAGGAAACTGTGAGGAATTATGGGAAAAATTTTTTTTTTCTTCAATTGATTGTTTCTTATTTGAGAAGAAAAATTAAGAATAAAAATCTAAATAAAAAAAAAGAATCTTTTTAAATGTGATGAAGTCTTTCATGTTTGGAAATTTACAGTCAGTCAAAAATTGACAATGTGCCAAATATTTATTTTAAATGCCACTGTTAAAATATAAAGTGAATATAAAGTCACCTCTTTAAATAGACATGTGCCTGAGCAAGACACCATAGTTTTATTTAGTTATTTTTTTCAGGGTCTATCTTAATGGAAGACAATGGAAAAATATTAAAAAAAAAAAACTTTTTTTCTTCTTTTTAAGTTCCATGTAGTTTCAGGACATAGATGATCATGGCTCTCCATTCCTCCTATCCCTTGTAGCTCTCAATAAGTTTCATGCATCTGCCAACTCCCACAGACCACATTCTGCCATCCACTTGCTTAAGCCCGCCAGGTATATCATATGTTGCTTTCCCTTGTCTCTTTTTCCCTCTATTCAACCTGTGAGTATCAGATTCTCCAGGCCCTCTCTTTTCTCATTACGTGTCCCAGAAATTTAATCTGCCTCTTCCTTATGTTAAAGTATAAGCTTCCTCCTTATTTGCATCCTTTTCTAAGACCTCATCGTTGCTCACATGCTCGCTTCATGATATCCTTAGCATCCTTCTGTAGAACCACATCTCCGTTGCCTCGAGTCTCTTTTTCATCTTTGAGGAGACCATCCAACATTCGCTGCTGTATAGGAGGACAGATGTCATGTAGCATTTCAGTACTCTTTTCTTTGTCACCAAAGAAATCTCCCTGTCTTGCAGTACTCTGCACAGCTTTTGGAATGCATTCTTGGCCATCCCAGTCTGTCTTTGGATCTCAGTGTCGCACCTGCTATCCTCTGTCGAAACCCTTCCCAGACATTTAAAGTTCAGCACAGGCTTGAATTTAGCGTACCCAACCTGAAAATCACATTTTGGGATCTTCTTTTTATTGATGACCGTATAAAAGGCTTAAATTCAGGTTAAATATGGCTTTTTTTAATATTATGTCAGTGCCAGTTATCACCCAAAAATTAATTTTTTTTTTTTTTTTTTTTGAATTCTGATGCCCTACAAATGGTAATGCTGCAAGTAAAATACAATATAATTTTTATTTTTCTGAAAGGTTGACCTTTAAGGGTTTCAATTTTAGAAACAGACCAGTTTTAATTACTCTTTTTCTGTTGTGGCATTTTGAAGAATCTTTTCTCAGGTTTCTTCACCTGTCACTAAAATGCAATAGAATTATTTTAAGACAATAGCAATTGTCTAAGAGAAATGCTGATTTTTATCTTGCTTATTATCAACATCACACCATGCATTTCAAGCAAAAATAACTGACTATTTTCCCATTCTCAGACATTGGCGCCTACTGTAATCTGATGACAAAAAACATTATCTAAGCCATGTAAATCTCTCTTCGTATTTTTCTGGGGAAAGTATTCTCGCTGATGCATACTATAGTCTTTCCTTGTCCATAGGGCATATGTTCTGAGATCCTCACTAGATTCCAGAAACTATGGAAAATCCAAACTTTTTTTTTGTAACCAAAAAAGATAATTTGACTGATTGATTTGTTTTCTACAGCTTATCAACCCTTTGCAGGTTATTTAAAGCCAGAAAATATTTTTAAATTGTAAGAATTTTTGTTTTTGAGATATTGATTTAGTGACACAAATCTTACTAATTAACCCATAACTTGGGGAAGAAGAGGTGGATTCATACCTTTTCCCAAGAGTATTTGTGTGTAAGTGAATATAACAAACCCAAAAGGAATTGAAACTGGGTTGTCTGATTAACAATTCTGAACCATTACCCATTACACCACCTATACATCCAACCTGGTATTCTAAAATGATCACTTATTTAAGTACTGACCAGGCTCAAGGTTGCTTAACTTTGGTCATCATACAGGAACTGGTGTTTCAACATGAAGTGGATGTAAGACTAAAAATAATTTTAATAAAAAAAAAGATAGTGTTTGATTTATAGATCAGGCACATTAAAACAAATAAAATTTGTCACTTAGCTGATTGAATATAACCTCAATCAGCAAAGTGGCAAATTTTATATTTGTATTAATGTTGTTAATGCTCTATCTCTGATATTAGAACTTTATTGCAAAGAATACTTAAATGTCATGTTTTTAGACGTCAACTGACTGACAGCATTCCTGGCTTTACACTATATTTGGTAATTGTTATGATGAACTTTCCTCTATGGTAACTAGACTTTATGAATTTAAGTGCAGCACTAGATTGGCTGCTAGCTCTCATCATCTTACAGTTGAAATGGCTAGATGTAACCATAAGTTCTATGCTAACAGTTTCTTTTCTCACTCTTCTCACATGTGGAAGTCTTTACTGGCTTCTTGTTTTTCAGTTACGTTTGATTTTCAAAAATTTAAAAGCAATGTCATTCATTATCTTCTGTCTTCTTAATTCCTGTTCTTTTATTCTTCTCTCACCTTAATAATGCTTTCTTTTCTCATATTCACTCAGTAACTCCTTGGTACTTTGTGGTTTTATTGCCTTGTTTGGGGGCAGGGTGAAACAATTTAAAAAAAATTCATATATATATGTATGTGTGTGTGTGTGTGTGTGTGTGTGTGTGTGTGTGTGCGCGCGCACACACACACACACACATAGAGGGTGCAATGGGTAAATTATTGCCATTTTATTTTTTTTTAATTTCATGTATGTGTGTTGCTTGTTTTTGATTTTGTTAATTGAACAGTATAGTAGAGATGCAATTCACTCCACCAAAAATTTTGAGACGGCATGCTGTATTGCTTGGCATTCATGTCGGAATCTCCAATATGAACATTTCAGAGTGTTTGGGTGTCAATCTGATGACAGTGCAGAAGATTCAGAAAGAGTTGTATGAGTCTAATGGTGATTACAAAGGTGTTTGGAGTGATCATGACATTATGCCTCTATTCATCTTCCCACAGGGCCTCAGATTCAACACAGGCCTACATCAAGTGCCTTGAGGAGGTAGTACTGCCCTGGGTCAATAGGCTGCCTGCTGGAAGACCCTATGTCACACACGCAGGAAAACCCAGTCCTGGTTGTCAAACAATTCCTGCAACTTCATCATCCCTTACTCCCCAGGCTGCAACCAACTTGATTATTATGTATGGGGCACAAGACCAACAAAACTCTTTGTAAAACCAAAGATGAACAGAAGAGATGCAGGAGATTCCAAAGGCATCTTGAGGCCATGGTGGAAGCCAATGGTAATTTTATTGAATGAATTTGATCTTTAGTATTTCAAGATATTTTGGTGTAATTTAGATGACAATTTATCCATCTCACACTGTGTGTGTGTGAATTGCCGTGCATCTTATATGCAAAGTTGAAGCTTTTAGTGGGTTAATTACCACTAAATTAATAACCACTACTATAGACTATAATTTTTTTTTTTATCTCAGATTATCAAATAAATCTGTTTAGGTTTTATTAAAATTCTAATCATTGCTTTTTTAAAACAATAAACATTGCCGAGGAGTGAAATAAGAGCAGAAGAGCAGTGTTAAGAGAAAAACTGCCCTTTTGACGCATCATTTTTTTGTATGCAAAAAGGTTAAAGATTACAGTGTCTTCTTTCCTCATAAAATCAAAAATGTCCCACTTTTTCAATTAAGTCACTTAATGGCTATTTTGCATTTCCAAATTGCCAGGAACATTATTCTCGAGCTATTGGACTATTGTTTAAGAAAATTTAATGCCAAAAATCTTTTTTTTTTATTTGATGGAAAACAAATAATTTACACTTTTCCTGACAACAAAAATAGATTTTTGTAAACTTTTTGTAGAGATTTTTCAGATTTTACCTTAAGAAAAAAAAATTACAGTGGCATTCATTCCAAGAATCTCAGCAGATACAGCAATAAAACCTACATGTCCTATATTTCATTTTTCTATACATATATACCTACAATAAAGTTATAATTTATAAGGTACTAACTAATAATAGGAATAAATAATTATAAAAAAAATATTTGCTGCCATTATAGTATGATATCTACCGAGACATTTGTGACCTACAGTAAATAATGATGCACTCATTATTGCTGGAAAAAGCTCAGGAAAAATGATGACCTGGTTACTGTTTTTTTTTTAAATGACATCAAATCAGTTTACAAATATTAAAATCACTATTTGAGGATTTTCTTTATTTTTTTTTGGTCTAAAAAATTGTTAATGATTTTTAATACATAACCCGTTCACTGTTCACTGCCTCTAACCCTGACCCTAACTCCTAACCTTTATCCCTAACCCCTAAACCTAACATATTTCATACTTTCAACAGTAGGTAAATATACCATACTAGAAAATGTATGTGTGTATGTATAGCTGGCCACCTGTATTTGAGGATACCCGTCTATTAGGGCGGCTAGCCAATCCCTATTGCAGACGCTTGCTCAGATGTATTTGTGTTTATTTGACACCCACAGAGTCCACCTGTGGTTTATGCTGCAACTATTTTGAGCAGACCTTAGTTACAGTTTCTTGGAAAAGGCGTGTTATCTAGCGTGATCAACAATTTGAACAAGGCCATCATATTCAAGCCCTCGGCCACGAT